ATGGTTAAAGAAAAACCCAATTCTACGCGTATCTACGATAAGGATGGCTTTCGTAGACGTGCAGCCTGCATTTGTGTACGTTCGGATGCTGAAGCTGAGGTGAGTTAGAGAAAAATAATGAATTAAAATTAAACTTTTCTAACAATAAATAACGTTTTTAAGGTGCTTTTGGTAACCTCCTCAAGACGTCCTGAATTATGGATTGTGCCCGGTGGTGGTGTAGAACCGGAAGAGGAACCCTCGGTAACAGCGGTAAGAGAAGTGTTAGAAGAAGCTGGTGTCATGGGAAAATTGGGTAGATGTTTAGGTGTTTTTGAGGTAAATTTGAAAACTATTATTAATTGAAAATTTTATTAAAATTTATTTTATTCTTTTAGAATCGTGATCACATGCATCGCACAGAAGTATTTGTTATGACCGTTACCAAAGAACTGGAAGAATGGGAAGATTCTCGCAGTATTGGTCGTAAACGTCAATGGTTTTCCATCGATGATGCCTTGACACAGCTGGCTCTACACAAACCGACACAACGACATTATCTAATGCAATTGCGGCATTCGAAAAACAATTCAAATGTTAATTCAACAACAAATTCACCAACTGCAGCTTCACCTACTACCGCATAAAATTAATTACTTTTTTTTTTTATTTGTTTTGCTTCTAATTTTTTTTTTACCATATTATTCTTCTACTTTTTTTAAAAAATGTTTCGCTGCTTTAAAAAAGAGAAAAGAAACTTAAGAGAAAAAGAAAAAAAGGAAATTCATTAAGAGACACGTTAGAAATGATATAGTAGATGATGATGATGATGTAGATGGCGTTAATTTCTGTTTTTTTTTTTTTGCAACTCATTTTTAAATAATTATTTTTTTTGAGAGAGTAGTTTTTAAGTTTATCTTTATTATTATAATTATTAAAAAAACAAAACGTTTACTATTAGTCCTCAAATATTAAAAACATGATTTCTTTCTTTCTTTTTTTTAAAAAGAAGAAGTATAAGAAGAATTTACACATACATAATTTACACTTTACATACAAACATACACTTTACATGCATAAAAATTACACTTAATTTTAAAAATAAAAACAAAACTAAATTAAAAATGAAAACTACCTAAATATTTATATTAAAAGAAAAAAACCACGAAAAAAAATAATAGACTCAATTTTATGGAACAATTTACTTATATTTTTTTTTTTTCTTTTCGCTTAATGTTTTCTTTTTGTTTAGAATATGAGAAGAGGTTTTATAAAAAAAATTGTCTTTAATTTAAAAAATAATAATAATAATAATGAGAAATTGTTTATAGCTGTAAAGTTAATGATGTTAAGAAAAAAAATTAACAAAACAAAAAGTTTATATTTGATTAGTTGATAATTTATGATCTTTTTTTTTTGTTCTCTTTAATTAAATTATTTTCTTTTTTTATATAAGATTTGAAAGAAAACAAACACATACTATCAAGACTCTTAAAAACTTTGTTTTTTTTAATTTAATTTTTGGAGGATGTTTTTGTTTTTTAGCAGAGTTATGTGGGTAAACAAAGTAAATAGAATTTTAGTTTCGAAGAAGATACAATTTTTTTAATATTGGAGAGTTTTTAAATAATAAAAGAAATACATAAAAAGAGAAATATTGTTGTAAAATTTGAAAAAAAAACTAGAGAAAATTTCGAAAATTTTCTATAAAAATAGAGAATTTCAAAAATTTTTAATCAAAAGAGAGAATTTTTGAAAATTATTGTTAAATAAAAATAATATGAAAATATCTCGTTTTTAAGGAAAGAGTTTCTCAAATATATTCTATAAAAAGAGAACTTCGAAAATGTTCTATTTCAAAAATATTCTACAAAAAAAAAAAAAATTCGAAATTTTTCTTTAAAAATAGAGAATTTCTTAAATTTTGTTTAATAAGACAGAATTTCGAAAATATGTATTAAAAAAAATAGAATTTCTTATATTTTCTTTAAAAAGACAGAATTTCGAATAATTTCAATAAAAAGAGAGAATTTTTGAAAATGATCAAGAAATAACAAAATATCGAAAATTTCGTATTAAAGAATGAATTTCAAAAATATTCTATAAAAAGAGAATTTAGAAAAATTCTTATTAAAAGAGAGAATTTCCAAAATTGTCTTTAAAAAAAGAGAATTTTGAAAAAATTTTTAAAAAAAGAGAATTTCTTAAATTTCCCATAAAAAGACAGAATATCGAACAATTTTATATAGAATTACGAAAATGTTCAATAAAAACAGAAAATTTCGAAAATATTCTATAAAAAGAGAATTTAGAAAAATTTCTATTACAAAAGATAATTTCAAAAATTGTCTTTAAAAAAAGAGAATTTCGAAAATTTTCTTAAAAAAAGAGAATTTCGAAAATCTTCTTTAAAAAAAGAGAATTTCGAAAATTTTCTTTAAGACAGAATTTCGATAAATTTTATAAAAAGAGAGAATTTTTGAAAATTATCTAGAAATAACAAAATGTCGAAAATTTCTTATAATAGAAAGAGTAAATATTCTCTAAAAAGAGAACATCGAAAATGTTCAAAAATATTCTATAAAAAAAGAGAATTTCAAAAATTTTCTTTAAAAAAGGAGAATTTCTAAAATTTTCTTAAAAAACGAGAATTTAGAATATTTAAAAAAAGAGCATTTCTTAAATTTTCTTTAAAAGACAGAATTTTGAAAAATAAATAGAAAGAACTTTTGAAAATTATCTCGAAATAACAAAATATCGAAAATTTCGTATAAAAGTAAAAATTTCAAAAATGTTCTATAAAAAGAGAATTTAGAAAAATTTCTATTAAAAGAGAGAATTTCAAAAATTTTCTTTGAAAAAAAAGAAAATTTCGAAAATTTAAAAAAGAGAATTTCGAAAATCTTCTTTAAAAAAGAAAATTTAAAAAATTTTCTTTAAAAAATGAGAATTTCGAAAATTTTCTTTAAAAAGTCAGAATTTTGTAAAATTTCAATAAAAAGAAAGAATTTTTCAAAATTATCTAGAAATAACACAATATCGAAAATTTCGTATAAAAGAAAGAGTTTCAAAAATATTCTATAAAAAGAGAACTTCGAAAATGTTCAATAAAAGCAGAAAACTACGAAAATAGTCTATAAAAAGAGAATTTAGAAAAATGTCTATTAAAAGAGAAAATTTCCAAAATTTTCCTTAAAAAAGAAAATTTCGAAAATTTTCTTAAAAAAAAAGAGAAATTCAAAAATGTTCTTAAAAAAAGAGAATTTCGAAAATTTTCTTAAAAACAAAGAGAATTTCTTAAATTTTCTTTAAAAAGACAGAATTTCAAAAAATTTCAATAAAAATAAAAAAATGTTTTCAAAAGTATCTAGAAATAACAAAATATCGAAAATTTCGTGTAAAAGGAAAAATTTCGAAAATATTATATAAGAAGAGAATTTAGAAAAAATTTGATTAAAAGAAAGAATTTCGAAAATTTTCTTTTAAAAAAGGAGAATTTCGAAAGTTTTCTATAAAAAGAGAAAAATTTCGAAAAAAAATTATAGAAAAGAGAAAATTTCAAAGTTTTTTAAAGAAAAGAGGAATTTTTGGAAAATTTCTATGAAAACAAAAAAAAAATAATTCGAAAACAATTTCAAAAAAATTTTCTACAGAAAAGAGAAAAATTTCTATGGAAAAATTCTATTTCTAATGTTTTCTATAAAAAAGTGAAAATTTCGAAAATTTTCTATAAAAAAGTGAAAATTTCGAAAATTTTCTATAGAAAAGTGAAAATTTCGAAAATTTTCTATAGAAAAGTGAAAATTTCGAAAATTTTCTATAGAAAAGTGAAAATTTCGAAAATTTTCTATAGAAAAGTGAAAATTTCGAAAATTTTCTATAGAAAAGTGAAAATTTCGAAAATTTTCTATAGAAAAGTGAAAATTTCGAAAATTTTCTATAGAAAAGTGAAAATTTTCTATAGAAAAGTGAAAATTTTCTATAGAAAAGTGAAAATTTCAAAAATTTTCTATAGAAAAGTGAAAATTTCGAAAATTTTCTATAGAAAAGTGAAAATTTCGAAAATTTTCTATAGAAAAGTGAAAATTTCGAAAACTTTCTATAGAAAAGTGAAAATTTCGAAAATTTTCTATAGAAAAGTGAAAATTTCGAAAATTTTCTAAAGAAAAAAGGAACTTTCTATGAAAACAAAAAATGTTCTAATGTTTTCTATAAAAAAGTGAAAATTTCGAAAATTTTCTATAAAAAAGTGAAAATTTCGAAAATTTTCTTTAAAAAAGTGAAAATTTCGAAAATTTTCTATAATAAAAGTGAAAATTTGGAAAAAAATGATAGAAAAGAGAAAATTTCGAAAGTTTTTTAAAGAAAAGAGGAATTTTCAAAAATTTTCTATGAAAACAAAAAAAAAATTCGAAAACAATTTCGAAAAAGTTTTTTATCAAAAGAGAGCATTTCAAAAATTGCTATAACAAAAAAGATAATTGAGAACATTTTCTATGAAAACAAAAAATGTTCTAATGTTTTCTATAAAAAAGTGAAAATTTCGAAAATTTTCTATAAAAAAGTGAAAATTTCGAAAATTTTATATAAAAAAGTGAAAATTTCGAAAATTTTCTTTAAAAAAGTGAAAATTTCCAAAATTTTCTATAATAAAAGTGAAAATTTGGGAAAAAAAATGATAGAAAAGAGAAAATTTCGAAAGTTTTCTAAAGAAAAGAGGAATTTTCAAAAATTTTCTATGAAAACAAAAAAAATTCGAAAACAATTTCGAAAAAGTTTTTTATCAAAAGAGAGCATTTCAAAAATTGCTATAACAAAAAAGATAATTGAGAAAATTTTCTATATAAAAGGAGAATTTCGGAATATTTCTGTATAAAGAAATAATTTCATAAATTTTCCATAAAAATAAACAAATTTTTCATGAAAGTGCAATTTTGAAAAATTTCATTCAAAAGAAAATTTGAAAAAATTTCTTGTAAAAGTCGAAACATTTCTGGAGTTTATGATGGCATTAGAATGAATAAGAAAAAATTTATAAGAAAGTTATTTCGAAAATTTACAATAACGTTTCATGAATTTCATTTCCTTTCTATAATCAACATATAAAATTAACAATAATTTAAACAAAAAAAACAGTTTTTCTAAAAACTCTATAAATTCGAATTTGTTTGCTTAGCAAAATTAAAAGAAAACTAAATTTAAAATAAAACATAAAAACCACTCCTCCATCATTTCTTTCCATACTTTTAACACCCCTCAAACACAAATTCCCCTTAAAAGTATTAAGTTTTTTTGTAAAAGCTAAATTATAAAAAAGTAAAAAAAATACTACAAAATAACTTTAACAATTGTTAAAAATCTACTTTTTGCACTTCTTTTTCTACTGCTAAATAATCGACAAAAAAAAAAACAAGGATTTTTTAAAAATATAATTTTTTTAATGAAAAAAAAAAAACAAAATAATTGTTGAAACCAGAGTTTATTAACAACAATATCTTTTTTAAACCAATGAGTTTTTCGAATAAAAGAAAACTATAATAATAAAACATATTTATAATTTAATAATTTAATATTTTTAATTTAAAGAAAAATAATAATTAAATTATTAAAACTGCTGCTCTGCTTTATGTGTGTGTGTGTAATAAAACAACAATTTGTCATTGTTATAATTCTTATATACACTGAGAAAAACAAACAATTAAAAACATTCAATAACATTTAAATAATTTCAAATAAAAAAATAAATT